CCTCCAAACAAATAAATATCGGAAAACTCATTTTAAAACGAATGATATATACCAAATTTTTACTAGGTACAAAAAAAACACGGCTACAAATTAACACGAACCAAAATGTAACGGACTTGTGAAGAAGAAGCAAGAGGGGGAGTGCATAAGTAGGAGGGGAGTGTAAATAGCTGCTCTCTAATCTCTATTGGAATAGACTAGGCCCAGACACAAAAATGAGCTAAGATGGGCCGTTTCTTCCAAACCTCCATGATTTCTTCCAAATACTTTGTAAACTTTAAAATTTCAATTTTATCTTTTTTTTTTTTCTATTTGTAATTCTGAAATACTTGAAAATATTTTAGAATGTATAATTGGGAACGTAAAATTTGTGTTTTCAATTGTACAATTCAAAATAAAAAATGAAAAAAATGTTAGATTTTTCAATCTAAAATATAAAATAAAAAATACATTTTGAATTTTATAATTTAAAATAAAAAATAAAGGTAAAAATGAGAAAGAAGTGGGTGCATGTAGAGGAAGAAGGGAACGTCGGTGGAAATAGAGAAAGAAGTTTCGTTGGAGATGGAAGATGAGAGTACCAATGGAAGTGGAGGAAGAAGAAGGTCGGAACCCTGGTGGAGGTGGAGAAGAAAAGAATGAGAAGAAGATAAGGACAAAATCGTCTTTCTACGTATGGAGGTAGAAGGAGAAAGTATGGAGGTGCATAAAGAAGCGTCCGCTGATATGAACTTAAGAATAAGAAGGCCACGTTTGATTTTTTATTTTTTTTTGGTTTTATTATGACAGGGCTGTCGATAAATAAATGGATATAGTTAAGGACACGTATCGGAGATAGAAAGACCACCAAAATCTATGGCATAGAAGGAAGCAGGTGGCCGAAGCCAAATCCAAGTCCTAACATCCACCTGAAATCTCGGTTTCCCACTTCATTCCTCCAACATATATGCGCAACGATCTCTTTAACTTCAGTGTGCAGTGTGCTGCAGTGTTTTACCTCCTTTCGTGGCATATATAGCCCCACACCGGTGAATCCAAAATCTAGAGCTACTTAGAAGATAGAATAAGAGCACCGAATCATTCCCAGTTACGATGGCCTTCGCCACCACCGCCTTGCTCTCTTCTAACTTCCTTGGAAGGAAGGTTGTGGTATCACCGCCAACCCCCAAAACAAGAAAACCATCCACTCCGTTACCGTTTGTTTTCAAGAGAACCATTTTTAACGCTCACAAACCCAATTCGGAAAAACTGAATTCCGCATCTTCACAAGCTGCTCTAGCGGCTCTTCTATTTTCCTCCGCCACTCTCTCCGCCACCCCACAGGCCGTAGCCGCTGATAACGTCACCCCTCCACCCGTGATCGAAGCGCAACAGAGCCAATTAAACCCCTCCAACGCAACCTCCTCACCTTTCTCTACGAACCTTCTCACAGCACCCAAACCCCAAGCCTCTTCGGACCTCCCCGAAGGCACCAATTGGCGCTACAGCGAGTTCTTGAACGCCGTTAAGAAGGGTAAAGTCGAGCGAGTCAGGTTCAGCAAAGACGGTTCCGCCCTCCAACTAACCGCCGTTGACGGCCGTCGAGCCTCCGTTATCGTCCCCAATGACCCCGACCTCATCGACATCCTCGCCATGAACGGCGTCGACATTTCCGTCGCCGAAGCCGAATCGCCTAACGGCTTGTTCAACATCATTGGCAATTTGCTCTTCCCCTTTTTAGCATTCGCCGGGTTATTCTTCCTCTTCCGCAGAGCCCAAGGCGGCCCCGGGGGCCCCGGTGGGCTTGGAGGGCCAATGGACTTCGGGCGGAATAAGTCCAAGTTCCAAGAAGTCCCCGAAACCGGGGTTACCTTCGGTGACGTGGCGGGCGCAGACCAAGCTAAGCTTGAGCTGCAAGAGGTTGTTGATTTTTTGAAGAACCCTGATAAGTACACTGCGCTGGGTGCGAAGATTCCGAAGGGGTGTCTTCTGGTGGGGCCACCGGGAACCGGGAAGACACTTCTAGCTAGGGCTGTGGCGGGGGAAGCGGGAGTGCCGTTTTTCTCGTGCGCGGCTTCGGAATTCGTGGAGCTGTTTGTGGGGGTTGGTGCGTCGAGGGTGAGGGATTTGTTTGAGAAGGCGAAGAATAAGGCGCCGTGCATTGTTTTCATTGATGAGATTGACGCCGTGGGTAGGCAGAGAGGGGCGGGGCTTGGAGGTGGCAACGATGAGAGGGAACAGACCATTAACCAGCTTCTGACGGAGATGGATGGGTTTTCTGGTAATTCTGGAGTTATTGTTTTGGCTGCAACTAACAGACCTGATGTTCTTGATTCTGCATTGTTAAGGCCTGGCCGGTTCGATAGGCAAGTTACTGTAGATAGACCTGATGTTGCTGGCAGAGTTAAGATCCTTCAGGTGAGTCGGTCTCATCCACGAACCCTTTCTCGAATATTGTTTTTTAATTAGATCAGTTCCTTGCTGTTTTTTACGCTCTCATTTAATTACAAGATGACAATGGCAATGCATTCTTTGACACACTTTTTAATATAATAGTAGAAAATGTGATTAATATAACCAACTATTATTAGAGAATGTGTTCAGCAGAGTGAGTTAGAAAATGTGTTGATATTTGTCTAATTGGGATTAGAGTTTCACTTTGATAACTTAGCGAACTTATTTTTAGTTGAGAGGAGTGGCAGCACCACATTGTCTTTACTCACTGCTTTCAAGAGTTTCTATCCTTGTTTAAAATTTATAGGACAATTCAAAATTATGAGTAGAGGATCATTGACTAATGAATGAGACTCATACATTTCTGATTTCCATAAAGTTTTTGCTAATTATGGTATTAGAGAGTGCGGTGCCAACATTTCCAAATAAGCATTATTAATGTAAAATTTTAAATTTGATTGGAGGTGAAAAACCAAGAGCACCTCAGCATCTAAATTTTCTCTACTTTTAATTCGATTGGTGAATTTGGGAGTTTTTGGTAGGTCAACCTTTGTGTGCAATGCGTGTAGGTCGAATTTGTTAAGTACATTTCTGTATCTGAACTTCTGGATTGATCAACTCTTGTTCTCTGTTAGGTTCATTCAAGAGGAAAGGCGCTTGCAAAGGATGTTGACTTTGAAAAAATTGCAAGGAGAACACCGGGGTTCACTGGGGCTGATCTGCAGAATTTGATGAATGAAGCAGCTATTCTTGCTGCCAGGCGTGACCTCAAGGAAATCAGTAAAGATGAGATATCTGATGCACTTGAAAGGATCATAGCTGGACCTGAAAAGAAAAACGCCGTGGTCTCAGATGAGAAGAAGAAATTAGTAGCATATCACGGTGTGTATTTTTTGTATGTTAAATACTATAGTTTGGGAGGTGTTGGCTCGTTTTTTGGTGTTCAACCTTATCTTTTCCATGTTTATTTTCAGAGGCTGGCCATGCTTTGGTTGGTGCTTTAATGCCTGAATATGACCCCGTAGCCAAGATATCAATTATTCCTCGTGGCCAAGCTGGTGGCCTCACATTCTTTGCTCCCAGTGAAGAGAGGCTCGAGTCTGGATTGTACAGCAGAAGCTACTTGGAAAATCAGATGGCTGTTGCTCTGGGTGGAAGGTTAGTGCAACTTTCAGTTAATAGAAACATGCACTGTTACCTGTTGTCAATTGGCTTAATAGCCTACTTAGTGATCTGCATATAAACTGCTCTTTTTATTGGCTCCTATTATATATTTTTAATGGACTCTTGTGTTTGTGAGATTCAGAGTTTTCATTTTTGAGTATTGTCTGACAAATTTCATATCTCTGGCCAAACAGGGTCGCTGAAGAGGTTATTTTTGGCCTGGAAAATGTCACCACCGGAGCATCAAACGACTTCATGCAAGTTTCTCGAGTGGCAAGGCAGATGGTTGAGAGATTTGGGTTCAGCAAAAAGATTGGACAAGTTGCTATTGGTGGTCCTGGAGGAAATCCATTCTTGGGTCAACAGGTAGGCCTTAAAGAAATAGTTTGATGCCTTAGACACAGTTACCGTGTTCTTGATTCTTGAACAACAACATATGCCTCACCTTTTCAAATGACTTTTAATGCAGATGTCAACGCAAAAGGATTACTCCATGGCAACTGCCGATGTAGTGGATGCGGAAGTAAGGGAACTGGTAGAGAGAGCATATTCTAGGGCAACAAATATCATCACAACTCACATTGACATCCTTCACAAGCTTGCTCAACTTCTCATAGAAAAAGAAACTGTTGATGGTGAAGAGTTCATGAGTCTATTCATTGACGGAAAGGCCGAATTATATGTTGCATAATCATACACGTAAGTCATAGGATCAATGTTTGTACTTTAAGATACGCTCAGACATGTACACTGTAAGAATGAATTAAATATTTTATCAAATTCAAGGAGGAAAAAAAATAGCACAACGGCTGACGCCGAAAAAGAAATACTGTTCAGTTCCTGTTTTAGGCCTTCTAATGAAGTCCATTTCAAACTTCAAAGCATACAATGGATTTTCTGCTTGGATAATAGAATTCTATGGCAAGTCACGACGATTTCTTTTGGCTTCCTTTGTTGGTTCCCTCTTGCAAAGAACTAAATACGTATATGAAGACGTGTTCAATGTAACATTTGAAACTTACACATAAAGAACTCGTGTGTTTACAAGTTAGTACCTCTTTACTCCCTTTGCCATCTTTCTCATTGGTCGTCCCAGACAGGAGGTCTTTCACACGATTAAACTCTCCTAGAGTGCACCCAACACTTACGAAGAAAAAATGTTCACTTGTCATTCTCATTATGCTTTTCATCAATGTGCTTGCGGATGATTGTGCTTTTATGCTTTTTATCAATGTAAATATTTACTTCCCGCAATCAAAACTATAGAGTGGAAGAGTGTGTGTGTGTGTGTTTAGATAGTTTTACACCAAATAGGATGGATTAATTAATTGTTTATGACCAAGTTTAAAGGATTTATATTCGAGTTGATTTAGTAAAAACTATTTTAACTCAAAATTCTGCTTGTGTTTGAACTATCTTTTTTAGATCGCACTTGATTTGATTTAAGCTTGTTTGAACTACTTCATTCAATTAACAATTGTGAAAATTATGCTTATTTAATATTTATTTTATGTAAAAAGGAATCTAAGAGAAATAAAGTTACATGAATTTAATATATATTGAGATGATTTAAGCATAAGAAAAGTTTAATTATGCATGTTTCGATTTTAACTTATTTATTTAACGACATCAAATTTAATTTAAGATCACTTCCTTCGCTCAAATCAAGTTCAACTTATCCATTATAAAATTAAGTTTTGAACTAAATTCGTGTTGTTTTTTTCATTGTTAGACCTCGATATAATGTTTAGAAACTTATGTACAAGTAAAAAGTATATTTAAACAATAAGATTTGTATTTACAAAAGCTAATAAGATGATAATAAAAAAAATCATATGAAAATCACCATGAACAAAATATAATCAACAATAAGGTATGGACTTTAAACTAGCCCCCTCCCAAATAAAACAAATAACATTTTATGTTTTTCTCACAATGATTTGAATTTGAGAAAATAAAAACAGTGATATACAACTTAATGAGTTGAACAATTTTACCGAATGATGCAACAAAATTTATCAATTTAGTAGAGATAGAAATTGCTAAAAATATTAATCTTATTTAGTTTGAGACAAAATTTCAATTTGAATCAAATGCCCCCAATTTAGTGTGAAATATGGAGGAATATTTACTTCACATTTTTAAATTTCCTAAATATTTAAATAAATTTTATAGCCAAAAAATATTAAAAACCTAATAAAGTAAAATAATTGTTTTCTTCATTTATTTATTTTTACATAATTTAACATTTTTAGTCTTTTTCATTCATTTAAAAGAGTTTAAATTTCAAAATAATATATTACTTTTATTTTAAGCTTCCCACTTTTACTTAATTTCTCTTGATAAAAAGAAGTAAATTTCACACGCGCAATGTGGCATCTCAGGTGAGGCGAAAGATGCTAAAACCCTAAGCAGAGTAAGCGGAAAGAACCGTGGGAACCCTTTTGCCTTCACCAAACGCAGTCTTTGTCTTCTTCCTTCACCAAAAATCGTTATCTTCCCCGCCACCGCGATTCCCATTCTTCACAGATATCAGAACTCAATGGAGCCACCTGCACAAAAGTGGCTCCTACCTAGGTCACGCATGCGCCAGAGAACCACTAAAATCCACTACACAGGTTCAAGCAGGTAGCCATAGCGGAATCCATGACACAGCACAATCTTCGTTTCCCACCTTGTTCATCCAGAAGCCCTTACAATCAATAAATCACGTTTATAATCGAACTGCGTCTTTATCTCAGCAGTATTTATTCTGCCATATTTCAGAATCCCCGTCACTCGCATTGATTGCGAACTTAGAAGTGTGGCGTCGTGGATAGAGAGATCCAAGGCCCAGGCTGGCCCAACGAAGAAAAAGCCCGAATCGCGTGCACGTTTGGCGAATTAGAACCGATGTTATCTACTTGGAACCCATGGGTTCGATCAGAATGGCCGAAGCCTGGTTCGTCAAGATCGCGTGCACCATTTTCGTTCGCTCTTCCTCGGTGGACCCTTTCCTGGGCTATTTAAGTAAGCACCTGACCCCTTCGCTCGTTTACGAGGTCGTGAATAAGCTGCACATTCCCAATTTGGGTTTTAAGTTCGTTGAATTCAGTAGACACGAGTTGCACATGAGTCACTCTTATTTGACGTATAATCTGCTCTTGAGGTCACTTTGTGGATCGAATCTTCACAGTGCCGCGAAATTGGTGTATGATTGGATGAGGTGTGACGGGCAGATTCCTGATAATTGGTTGCTAGGGTTTTTGGTTTCTTCGTACGCCGTTGTTGGTAGGTTAGATATTTCGAAGGAACTGCTTGCGGATGTTCAATGTAATTGTAATGTTGGAGTCAATGCTGCTGTGTACAATGACTTGTTCAACGTTATGATTAGGCAGAATAAGGCACTTGATGCGGTTTTTCTGTTTAGGGAGCTTATCAGGTTGCGGTATAAACCGGTAACCTACACAGTCAATATTTTAATGCGAGGGTTGTGCAGGGCCGGGGAAATTAGCGAGGCTTTTAAGCTTCTTGAGGATATAAGGAGTTTTGGTTGTTTGCCAGATTTAATTACCTATAATACTCTTATTCATGGTTTGTGTCGGATTAGTGAGGTGGATAGAGCTAGAAGTTTGCTAAAGGAAATTTGTTTGAATGGGGAGTTTGACCCTGATGTTGTTAGTTACACGACGATAATAGGGGGTTATTGCAAGTTGGGTATGATGGGGGAGGGGACTTTGCTTTTTGATGAAATGATTAGATCTGGAGCTGTGCCTAATACGTTTACCTTTAACGCTCTTATTGATGGATTTGGGAAGTTGGGTGACATGGCCTCTGCACAAGCCTTGTGTGGGAAAATGCTTCTTAATGGCTGTCCACCTGATGTTGCTACTTTCACTTCTCTAATCAATGGGTATTTTCGAGTTGGGAAGGTGCACCAAGCAATGGACATGTGGCATAAAATGAACGACAAAAATATTTGTGCGAGTTTATATACATACTCTGTTCTTGTCAGTGGCCTTTGCAATAATAACAGACTACACGAAGCTCGGGACATTTTGGGACTGTTGAATGGTAAGGACATTGTTCCACAGCCATTTATCTATAATCCTGTTATTGATGGATATTGTAAATCCGGCAATGTTGACGAGGCTAATAAAGTTGTAGCAGAAATGGAAATGAATAGATGCAAGCCGGATAAGTTAACATATACCATTCTTATTATTGGGCATTGTATGAAAGGGAGAATGCTTGAAGCAATTAGTATCTTTGATAAGATGTTGGCTGTTGGTTGTGCCCCGGATGAAATCGCTGTAAATAATTTAAGATCCTGTCTTTTGAAGGTTGGAATGGCCCGTGAAGCTGCCCGTGTTAAGGAGGTTATTGGTCAGAACCTGCCCTGCAGTACTATATCGTTGAAGAAATCTTATAACAAAAGCACACATGCAGATGTTCCTGTTGCTGTTATTGAAGTGCTATTGCAAACCAGTGGTTAGACAGGTCTTGGACCATATACCTTGAGTGCTGGGTGCACGTGTCTCCAGTGTGGATCAAAGTAATGCTATCATCAGAGGCAGAATGCCTCTTTTTTGTTCTGGGGATTGTATTTACATCGCATGGTAATTCTCTCCAAGTTTCAGCTGATTATTTTTGGACCCGGAGTTAGGTATACTCTAGTTAACTTTGAGTTGATTTTTCATTTTTCATGGTCTCAGCCAGTCTCAAGCTCAAGTAAAGCAGGTGGAGGCTTTTGTTAGGCCTTTGACAGCCGACATACAACTTTTCAAAATCCCAAACACGGATTTTTCATTGTCCTCTGGATTTTGAATTTTGTTCTTACATGAAATAGATTTTATCAAGTCTCTTCTTTTGTAAACTGTAGTGCTAGTTAATTTATTTTCTTGTTCATATGGAAGTGCATTTACTTGATAGTATATTGAATTCTACTTGAAAGAAATTGAATAAAATGAAATGTCAAGCCCTTTTTTCTTGTAAACTTTACAGTAAATATCCTATATTGTACAAAGATAGGAGATGTATTATCGAGGATTTGATGAGACAAAACCTTTGATAAGAGAAGTATTAAGGAAATTCTTGTCTTCTTAGGCTCAGAAATTGGTAACATGCAGGATAGAAAGTGGTTGTATAAAAATTTTTTTGAACATTGTTGTCATCCATGATTGTGTGTAAAGATTTTGGCCGAAATGCTAGGAATTCTGTAATACTACAGTTCATTTGCAAAAAACCTCCTGTGGTTCGAAACTCGATAACAATTCCTTGTTCCTAAGTAAATTTTGTGTATTGACTCCATACAGGCGGTTTTCTGCGCATGGATTAGTGGTTAAAATCACTCTGCAAGATCTGGTAAGCTTTGCCACTTGAGTTACTGAGTTTTGAGCCATATGGGAAGTTGGTTATCCGTTTGCATAGGACAAAGTATTTCATCATGGGGTTTCTCCGCAAGACGCTTTTATTGAGATATCTCAATTGGTACAAAGGGTGCTTGATGGGTTCTAGGTGATTTGAACTTGCCACTTTTGGCTCATTATTTTTGGACCGAATTAATGCATAGAAAATAGGTAAAAATTGAGCATGAAAACTTCAAAACATTAAAGTTGTATCTGAATTTCTTTTGTTTTTGGATCAATCTGAATTTTATTTTTAATATTTTGTGCTATTTTATCTCTTAGAAATTAAATGAATATGAATAAATTCTGAATTTTGGTGCAGGCTTATGTTCTAGGATACCTACCAAACCAATGAGAAATGGTTTGCTCACAAATGTAGACTTCTATTTGATGAAGAGGTAACTTATCTTTCGTTTATACACGAATCCATCAATTGCATGTTGGCTGTGGTGCATTAACTATAAGTCGGTGCTGTTAATATTAGATAGATGATTAGAGTTAATGAATATGATGTGATGTGAGAAGCATGGGTAACCGATTAATGTGTATCTTTCACCATAGCTATCTCTAGATTATCAATACATCAATACCTATTCTTCAATACTTCTCACGTAAACTGAATTAGATTGTCTTATGTAAAGGATAGGACGTGTAACAAGATAAAAGTGATGAGATGTATTATAGTACCTTATTCTTTAAGACCAATATTGCTGTGTTATTCGAGTTAGGAATATAAAAAATCGCGCTTAATATATTATTTTTAAATTCACTTTCGTTTCTCCCAGCGTTGATTTTATTCCACTGTTGTTTTTTTCACTCTATTTCTCTGTAAACTATTTGGGTGGTTTTTTTTAGTGTTGTATATATTTCTTCATGAACATGTCGATTAACGATGAAGAAGTACAATAATAAGGTGTACGAGTTAGAATCGTTAAGAAAATAAAGAGATTTTCTAAATCAATGATACCGAAAGGGCAAAAATGAGTCATTGGGTCCCAAAGAACGGCTATGCCTTATAGTCCCTTCAGAGAAAACGGCACTGAAATCGTTACTTGTGCAGAGAGAGAGGCAAGGGGTTGGAATTTTTGTGCAAGGTTCAACTATAGGCTATAGCCCCATCACTTGGATGGGGAGATGAAGACAACCCCGCCAGCTACTTGCATGAGGCATTTACAAAATCTTGTGCAGAGGTAGAGAAGGAACTAACATACAAGAATGACCTTAAGTACAGGTGTGTCTGTGATGTATTAGTGGATAGCACATCAAAGATATTAACCATTCTATATGTATTAATGGATATTGATTTTGATGGGGAAAATATATTTTTTTAGTCTTTTTATTGTATATTTATTTTGTTTTGTTTTATTAGCAAAAATAATATATATTATTAGATAGACTCTAGTAAATACAGGTCCAACATGAAGGTTTTAGAGCCTCTCCATTTCGACGTGTTTAATGATAAACATAGGTTTTTTCCTGGTTCTGACGTTGGAGATGAATGCAGTGGGAGTTGTACCATACCTGAGACATCGGTTTTGGTAGAAAGCAACTGTTGCATTCCAGTGTGTATGGATCTAAAGCGCAGGGTCCAGGTGCCAGAAAATAAAATCACTCAAGGATCAGTGGAATCAAATCTACTGGGGTAAACAAATGCTAAAAAGTAAAAAATGACAGTAAGTGTTATGTATCAGTGAAAGCTATAGAAAAAGGAACAACTAAAGGAAGATTCTTGAAATGGAGATACGTACTTGTCTTTGGGTTACCAAGCATCAATGCAAACTAGAGGCCCAAAATGCATTGTAACCCGCACCTGTCAAATCTAACAAACCACACGAACTTCCCCACCGTAAGAACATAATCTATTTGACATTTTCTCCAAAACGAAATATAAATAAAATGCAACAATACGTTGTTTAAACCCCTTGTAATACAGGCCTTCCACCTTGAACGCGTGTGAATGCAAGCTTCAATGTTACTCATCCACTTAACAGGTGAAATACCAGAGTTAGGGAATAGATATGTTTTGAATTTGACTTCCTACACCGAGTTACAAAATCAATTGAGTTTTATTTGTTACTTTCAATTTAGTTTTTAGAAGATTCAATTTGGTTGTTGACTCTCAACATAACATGAGGGTCAATTACAAGAGACAAAAGTTCCCATAGTGGGTAAGGTGTGACCAATAAAGAAGGAAATTGGGAGAAAAAATAGATTGGTGTGGGAAAGAAAAGAAATATATAGGATTAAAGAGAGGTAGTTTGTTTGAAGAAAATAGGAAAATTTGAAAAATTCGAGATTAATTAATATAAATAATTTATTATTATTATTTGTTTCTATTGATAATGTTTATATTAAACAATAAACATTTTTGTTTTTCCTTTACTTTTTTTTTTCTTTATCAATGAAATATGGTTAGCTTCGAACACTTTTCATTTACTCAGAGGTGTTCATATCAGTGGCGTGTTAAAAACAGATGTGAGTACTGGTTAAGGTAGCCATATGAAGCAAAATAAAGAGTACAGAGAGAGTTTGAAGAAGGAAGTACATAGCTCTACTTAGAGTAAGAGTTACCGGTTCCGTACTGAAGTTGAAACAAGTTGATAGAGGGTTGGGACCCAAGAAAAACTCAGCAGCCGCTGAAACAGGACGACAAATAAAATTGGCCATCGTTCACGTTCCGGAAAAAACAAAACCACCAAAGCGACGACTCGATCAGGCACTGGAACAAACAAAGGAACGGTTTCCAAGAGTTTAAAGTTTCAACACTCTCACAACGTAATTTAGATCCTAAAGTTTCAACAAAGGAACACTTTCTAAATTTTCTCTGCATAGTGCTAACTAAGAAAATTGATATTTTGACAACATAGTTTTTACACCTATCTTTCATTATTCTTCACTCTTTTTTTATATAAATATAGGAATTGACCTTTTTTTCATGATCATTTTACCTCTAGATTAGATTATCAAATGGTTGTTTTGGTATGAAAGCAATCTTTTTTCCAGTGCTAAATTCATTCTAGAAACTAAATTACATACCCCTAGTTACATCTAAAAGTGATGAATAATTTCTGCGAAAAATATAAAGGTTCTGTCTCAGAAGCACGGAGACCGAAAATTAGAAGAGACCCTGAACTAGAGCAATTCAGGTTTTTAACTTCTAAAACTGGTTTTGCCATAGGAATTTCATTATTAAAAATTAACAGATCAAGTAAACAAATGTTTTCCTCCAACAAAATTTGAGATACTGTGTACAAAAAGACTAGGTTCGAAAATTGAGATCACATCATCAATCCTACAAAATCCATCGAATCAAAAAAGTCTGAAGCTAGTTATTTTTGTTGGATTCTTCCAAAACATTGTCCTCTTGCTTAATTTGTTGGCAAAGTTCTTCATACAAGCGAGCAGTGGTGTCAGTGAACCTCTCCATGGCACCAAAGATCTGCTTCAAACCTGATTGTAGGTTAGTGGTATCAACAATATCAGCATGATGCACAGCATCCCCTCGTAACAGTGCTTCAAAATCTTCTCTATCAACCGGAACCATTTGTTTCTCTCTAGCACGCACCACTTTGTGCATCTTTTGCTCCTCCCTGTCCAACATTTTCACTTTTTTCTCTAATTCTTTGTCCAGTGTTAGTTTTTGTTGGAGCTCCAAAATATGCTTTTCCAAGAGCTCATTCAATCTGAGCATAAACCCATTTACGGCTTCAATCACATTCTTCTCTGAGAGATTATCTACTGCCCTCGACCATTTGTTGCAGATGACAAACACAGGCGGTGCCCCAATCTTACTGGGTGAAAAGGGAGTTGAGTCATCGGGTACTTCTTCAGGTTCATATAATAGACATCTTACGAGCCAACCATTCAACGCTTTCACATGAGACTTCTGTGCTTGAATCCAATCTAAGAAGCTCAAGTTCCATTTCTGTATCTCAGATTTGAGCTTCATTGTTGCATCAATATGATCACTGCCATGCTTTCTGCTTAAAGAAGAGGCATCTAAAGTTTTGGCTTCAACAATTTGTTGATATTGACACTTGTAACATTCTTGCATGTCTCTCCACATTCCTAGAAACCTTTTCCATACATGAACAGTCATTAGCAAGGGAGAAGAAAGAAAAGGAATATCAGTCTTTTAGATGACTACAAGGACTACAATATAGACGCGTTAATGTCCAATACAGCTTTCAAAACACATTATATAGATAAATAAACTTAAAAACAAAGATGTCACTCAAGAGGTTCCCCTGAATTAATTTGCCAGAAAAGTACATGCCCAGATACGCTTACGTTTTCTTAATTTATTTATTATCTAAAATATCTCGTAGTCTCAGTTTGATACAGAACAAGGTGTGTCATTGTTTCCTAATGCAACGTTACTAGGATGTCATTGTTTTCTCGCTCGTGCTAATCATGCCTGTGATGGTTGTTGGCATAGTATAAGATTATAAAAAACTGTTACCTACAGGCTAAAAAACAACATAACGGCCATCAAGAGTGAAAAATACTAATTCTTAGCTATTAACTTCTCAAAAACTGAGTTATAAAAAAGCAAATATTATTGCTTTAGATCATGATGGCTATATGACGCATCTGCCAAGTGCCAAATAAAGAGTTTAAAACAATTCAGCACAGATTTAGCTACAAGAAACTTCTGTTACGACTTACGTGAGAATAAATCCATTGATCTGCGGCCACAACTTCTCGTCCCTCAACTTACTAATTGTAATTGATATCTTGTCAACTACTTGGATAGAAATTTTCATTTTTGTAGCTAAAATCCCAATGAAAGTTTGAACAGAATCAATTTTCTGTGCATCGGCATCCTTTTGTTTCATTCGTCTCAACTGCTTACACTTCTTCTGATGAAGCATGCGCAATTTCTCCTCGGCCTGAGAAATTAAACACAATGATTATTGGATTAGAAAATAAATTAATTGAACTCTTTTGAGAAACTTATCACCATTTTTACAACTAAGCAAAGTGAAAAGAAAAAATAAAAAAAGAGTTTATACCTTGACTTCATGATACAGCTTCCTCTCCCACATACATAGTTTCTTCAGAGTAGAAGAGAGATTTCCGTAACTACAAACTTCTTCACTCTCAGATCCCATTCTCCGTACAAGCAATGGAGATTCCATGCATTTAGCTCCAAGAGGACTTGAAGGAGTAAACACATGCATCATCTTGCATGAAACTGATCCCAAAAACCTCTCACTTGTTCGTTAGTTTAAGTTAAATCAACAACAGATACAACAAAATTAAAAAAAACAACAAACGTGGAAAAAAAAACAAAAACGCATGCACCATCATGCTTACCCGGATTGAGGTCAAATTTTCGATGATAACGAAGTTTCCCAACGTCCAACAATTCCAAAATCGGGTTCCCTGACTCCGACGCTCTCTCAAACAGAATCTGAATCTCTTTCACCGCCTCGGAAAAACCTTTCCCTGATTTCACTTTCACAGAGTCACTACACTGCTCTGAAACTAAAACCACTTCCTCTTTCTCCAAAACCACCTTCTTTTCCTTCAAATCACCATTCTTCTTATTCTTCCTCGCTTCTCCATTTTCTGCCTTCAATTTATTCACGTCACGTTTCACAACCTTCCCTTTTTCCTTCTCAGCGGCGTCATCGTCACCGCCGCTGGGAATGTACGGTACGTGGTACTTCTCGTACGGCTCAAAGAAGTTAAGGAAGTCCCATGCCGAGCCGCTGGGCGGCGGCGGAGACGGCGGCTTCGAGCCGAAGTATCCGCCGGAACGAGGAGGAGAAAATGGAGAGTAATCATAACGAGCGTGCGTGAACGATTGGAACTCTTCTTTCTCAGCTTCTTCGGTTTCCGATTCAGAATGCAAAAGGACGTGAACATGCGTATCATCTGAGTCTGAACTAAGGGAAGAAGGGGAACGAGGCGGCGGTTCAGATTTCGCGACAGAAGCCTTTGTTTCCTTATTTGGGACATTCGTTTCGTCGGAATCGTCGAAACCGTCGAAGAAACAGAGGAGAGCGGGTCCAAGTGTTCTGAGTGCCTCCATGTGCGCCACGTGAGCATCGGCGAGTGCGTAGCTTTGGCGGAGCGCTTCGTCCAAGAACTTGTAACGGTCACGGCACAGCGCCACTGCCGGTAGCCGGTCAAGCCTCGAGGTGTTGCAGCCCATTGCTCCGAGCAGTCACCGGCGGCGAAGCCTCTTAAGGCGAGAAAAAATTCAGTAAAATTATTTAATCTTTTGGAAAGAGTGGTGTTGTTGGAAAAGAAAGTGATATTTTGCAGTTCTTAATTTCTGTGACGCTTGGAACTGTGAAACGATTTGGTTATAGTGATTGGAAAAAGATTGGTACACGTTTT